GGAGAATGCTTCCTGAAATTGGGAAGATGAGAAGGTTTAAGAAAAGTAGTTGTTTGCAACAATTATCTTATTGGGAGGACAAACTACTCAAGATAGCACTCCAAGATAAAATGAGTTTAGTTCAAGCTCAACTTCTAGTCCAAGTTTAAGTCTGAGTTCTAGTAGAAATGCTAGAGAAGAGTCGACTACTCTAGAGTCAGCTCCAAGAAGAGTAAGAAGTTTAGCAGAAATTTATGAGTCATGTAATTTCTCGCTAGTTGAGCCACAAAGTTTTGAAGAAGCTGAGAAATAACAAAATTGGATAAAAGCCGTGGAATATGAAATCCAAATAATAGAGAAAAATAATACTTGGGAGCTAGTAGATCGACCAGAAGATCGTGAAGTGATCGGTGTTAAATGGATTTACAAGACAAAATTGAATCCAAACGGATCAATTCAGAAGTATAAAGCAAGACTCGTGGCAAAAGACTTCAAGCAAAGTTATGGTATAGATTATTACAAGACTTATGCTCCTACAGCAAGACTAGAAACAATTAGAACTATTATTGCTCTGGCAGCTCAAAAAGGTTGGCGATTGTATTAATTTAATATCAAATAAGCCTTTCTGAATGGTTATCTTGACGAAGAAATTTATGTCGAACAACCAGAAAGATTTTTAGTTGAAGGGGGAGAGAACAAAGTATACAAGCTAAGGAAAGCTCTATACGGCCTAAAGCAAGCACCAAGTGCATGGTATAGTGAGATAAACAAATACTTCACGTAGAAAGAATTTCAAAAAAGCAAGAGCGAACTGACTTTATATGTCAAGAAAATAAGTACTGATATTCTAATTGTCTCATTGTATGTTAATGATTTAATTTACACAGATAACAATGAGACAATGCTCAGAGAATTCAAAAAAGATATGATGGAGACATGAGATGAGTGATCTGCATTATTTTCTGGGTATAGAAGTATGCAAAGGTGATACAGATGTCTTTATATCACAAAAAAAGTATGCAGAAAATATTTTGAGGAATTTAATATGCAAGATTACAAATCATTTACAACTCCCTTAATGGCCAATGAAAAGTTGAAAAAAGACGATGGAGCAAAAAGGGCAGATGAAACCACCTACAGGAGTTTAGTTGGAAGTTTGTTATATCTAACTGCAACACGATCAGACATAATGTTTGCTGCTAGCCTATTATCAAGATTCATGAGTAGCCTGAGTAAACTAAACTTCACAGCTGCAAAGAGAATACTCAGATATATTAAAGGTACAACAAATTATAGAATATGGTATAAACCAATAGAAAACTAAAAATTGATCGGTTATACAGATAGTTATTGGAGCGAATGTGTTGATGACATAAAAAGTACATCAGAATATGCTTTTTCACTGGGATTTGGTCTTTGTTCATGGTCGTAAAAAAAGTAGAGCGTAGTGGCGTTATCATCAGCTGAAGCTAAGTACATTGGAGCAGTTCGTGCTATCACACAAGCAATATGGTTAAAATGTATTCTAGATGACATTAGTGAGAAGTAATATGAACCAACAATAATATTCTATGACAGCAAATCAACAATTCCAATTAGTAAGAATCTAGTTAGTCGTGAAATGATCAAATATAATGCTATCAAGTATCATTACATTCGAGAAGCAGTCGAGCACCAAGAAGTGCAACTCAACTTTTATAGAACAGATCTGCAGTTGACTGATATCTTCACAAAAGTGTTGACAAAAGAAAAGTTCATACACAACTGGAATCTGATCGGCATGTCGAAGAAAATAAATTAAAAGGCGAGATTGTTAGAATTAATTTATTTTATTAAATTGTTAGTTACAAAAAAATTTAAAATGAACAGTTATGAAAAATTAAAATAAAACAATAGAAAATTAAATAGCAGAATTTAATAGTAATTAAATAAAATAAATAGACAATTATCAATAGGAAAATTAATAGGAAATTTTTTGCTGTCTATATATAGGCTGTATATTGTTCTGTAAGAATATTCTATTCAGATTGAATATAATATATTTTTTCTTTTCAATATATCTCTCTAGTTATCTTTAAGTTTATATTTTTGCATCAGTAACAACCTCTTATCTTCAATTTATTTCCAACAGTTCTTAGCCTGATTTAATAATATCATGTAGATTTCCGAATCATGTAATGGTTATTAAATTAAATTTGTGTGGTACTCTTTTTTTGTTTCAAGTTTCTATCAGCTTACGCTTGTAGACCTTTTGTCATTTTGCGTGCAGATTGGCGGCGAAGCTTAGAATCTACAAGAAAGAAGCACAAGATAGAAAATCATCAGACTTCTACTCCCAGTCTGTATTCTCCTTTGGATGAGTTAATGAAGGATGATGACCATTTATTTCAAAGGGAGCATGAAAGAAGTTCTTGCTGGGAGAATTGCGAGGATGCTATGCTATTCAAGGGGCAGCTAACTAAGGTGGGATTTCTGGATCAGGACTACTATTCTTTCCAATCATGGGATTCAATGACCCAAAAGAATGAGAACTGTCTGTGCATGCCTGATGACAACCTATCAGCAGACAGTTACTTCTTGAAGGATAATTTGGCTGCTGCAGGGAAATCCAACCATCAAATCAAAGACAACATCTTAAGGTCACACTCAACTAATGAGTCCTTTCAAGTGGAGCAGAGTTTGGAGAATGGATCAGGAGGTGGTTTACCTTTTGACTTTCATGAATTCGACAATGGATCAGAGATCAGTGAGGATATTGGAAAACCTTCTTTGCGTAGTTGCACTTTACGAGGAAGCCTGCCACTTGATGGGGCTTTATTTCCAAGTGAGGAGGGATCTGAATCATCTATTAATCTTTTGACTGAAAAGAAGTCGGATTGTTCTGACAAAAAATCAAATATCCTAGGGGTTGATGTTAAGGACAGGAATTTTAGTTGTTTCTCGAAGACTTTGTTGGAGGATGAGTCATCATGTGCTTGGCAACATTCCAGACTCATCACAGAAGGTGACATGGCTGTAGATTCTAATTTTATTTCAAGAGCTTCTGCAAAGTCATTTTTATCTTACAATGATCATTCTTCTGGTGAGAAATTTGATTCAGATGCACAAGTGAGAAAAAAACCTTGTCCTGGTTTATCAGGTCCTGAATGTTGCTCTGGAAAATTAGATCCTTTGTTTCAGTCTGAATGGTGGGAGGCCAAACATTTCACTGGAAATGGTGCACTAGGAGGAAGCCCCGGATGGTATGATGGGACTTGCTTGAGGAATTTTGTAGATAGTGAAAATGACTGTAGATTTTATTATGATACTATGTCTAAGCGCACAAACCAAGGAAAATGCACCTCAAGTTGCATGAATGTTTACTTTGATTTGAAGGATTATAGTGGCTCTAGGAAAGGTTTCTGTGAGTTTCTTGAAGAAAAAACAGTACCCTATAAATCTTCTACCAGGAATCCTTCTATGTTAGCTGATTTTACAGACTGGTTGCATCAATCAAGTAGCAAAAATTGCAGAGATATTGACAAGCACAAAAGTCAAAGAGATGAGCTTAGACATCGGGACTGTGAACAAAAGCCGTTACTTGAAAAAATAACAAGAAGCCATTCAGCTCCTCCATTTTTTAGGCAGAAGAGGGGTTTTATCTCCTTAAATCATTGTTCGATGATAGATGTAAGGAAATCTGATGATCATTTTTTTGAAGATGCCTCTACTCATGGTGATGCTCTTGATATTTATTTTGTTCAAGATTTAGTACAATGATACAAGACTAAGACTTCTTACAATTTGCAGTGCCTGATATTTCAAGACATCTCCAACAACAATGTTCTGGTTTGCGTCAGTTACATCTGAACCAAACTTTGGTAGAAGATGTGTCGTGTTGTGCCAGGTACTGCAGATTACTGCTTTCTTCTATGCTTACCAAAATTTTAAGTTGCCAACTAGAACACAAGTTCACTATTTCATTCGTGCTCTGGAAGACCTCATTCAAAGAAGCTGGAGCTCACATCAGAGATGAGAACCATTGATGGATGTGGGAGGTCCCTGTATTCACCAGCTCATGAAGCTGCTCCAGTTGAAGGTATATCATATGTTCTCGAAAAAGGTCTTTCACCATTGACTGGGGCTATGAATGTAGTAATTGTGGGAACTTATACACTTATTACATCACATAGATCCTACATACATGATAACCTTAAGCAGTTATACATTAGAAAGTAAGAGATACATTTACTCACCTCTTTAAATATTTTGCTTTTATTTAATAGAACCTAAATTTTTACAGTTTGAATTTCATTTCAGTGGAAATACAGATTCACTAAATTCAAGGAA